CAAAGCATCCAAAATGAGGAAACTGATTTAGAAACAGCACAGTAAAAAGATGACTGATTTCAGATTACAGAATCTTCATTTGGGACATCTTTCCTGGAACTATGAAAGCCTTTCTCTTCAATTTGCTCTTCCTTTATGCAACTGAGGATGATTAGAGAAAAGCAGAGCAGGGAGAAGGCCAGAGCGCAGCTAGTACAGTAAGCCAAGAAAAGGGTAGAAGACTACCCATGTACCTCTGGTCCTTGCATTTCCTTAACCCAGAATCTAGACTAAAAGGGCAGGACTGTAAACTGCACCATTTATTGTATTAACTCACAGAGCTGAGCCTAAACCAGCAAGACCCTGTTTATGACTTTGGCTGTTACACCCTTGTTCACTCCTAAGTGTGTAGTAGTGCATTTGGCATCTCATTTAAGAATCGCTGGGATCTAAGGCAGTTGCCCCTTTCTCTCTTCCTCCGCTCCCTCCCATTAGAGGGCCTGAACATAACAGGATCCTGGTTGATGGCTTGCACCACTATCCTACAACAAATGGTAAATAATAAGAATAGTATCTGGTATTTTACATTAGGTGCATTTTTCACTTGAGCTTGATGTTCATTATAACCAAAATATTAATAAATATGAGCAATGAGGAATAGAAAATTGTTTGTAAAAATCAGATGTCCATTTCAAATTTCCCAAAAATCAGAAGTATTTGGATCCAGGGTTTGTAATTCAGCTCTTTAATAAAAGACTGTGACTCATCTTCAAAATTCACACATTGACCTGTGTTCAGATTTTAAACCTCTCCTAGATGGCAGGATGCTTGAATCTGAGGTTGTATTCCAAGCCCTTTTCAAGTGTTTGTTTTTAGCAGACTGCTGATATCACTATCCTCTTCCAGCACACAGTTCATTTCACACTTATGGTCATACTGTTCCCTTTTTGTTTGCCAGAGTTGGGCAGGACACCCCATGCACAAAAGAAATATAAATAGGGGTCTGCTTAAATCTCAGAGAAATTTCACATTCTTCACAGGTTGGTCCCAGCACAAATAGCAAATTTCTCAGACGTGTTACACATCCATAGAATTTGCTATTTATGCTATGACCAGCCTGTGAAAAACGTGAGTTCACCACAAGATTTGTCAAACTGGGGGCCTGATCTTAAAAAGAGTATTGCAACAATATCAGGGGGCCATGGTATTGTCACCTTTACTCCTCCACTGCTGCTGGCGGCAGCACTGCCTGAAGCTGGGCAGCAGCTGCTGGCTGAGCACCCATGCCAGAAGACAGGACCGTGACCAGCGACAGCAGAGATATAAGGGTGCCATTGTACTGCTGGCCACAGCCACTACTGGAGCTGGGCATCTGGCCAGCAGCCACTACTCTCCTTTCAGCCTTCATATCTGAGTGGCTGTAGACCAGATTTTATGGTCCATTACATGATTTTCATGGCTGAGAATTTGGTAGACCTCTAAATAAAAATGCTGCTTTGTGAGACAGGCTGAAAGGATAAAAGTTTAGTGACTGTATGGATTTTATTCAGCTCCAAATATTAAATCATGAGCAGTGAAATTTTCAGGCTGATTATTTCTTCCCTTGTGGTAATCTTAAGAGTCTTTGACAGTTGTATTGTGAGGAAAGCCAGATTTCCTTGTAAAAAAAATCACACAAGCTTCGCACGTATTAGGCTTTTATTACTTCATTTTGACATCCTTCCTGGAAGGTCTGTCATGTGACTAGCTGAAGTTCGTCTTGCTTCCCTAGTAGTGGTAATGCTGTTAATTTTGCACTCTTTGCTCCTAGTCATATGACAAAACCTAGGCATTTCTATAGTACAGTATTAATATATTGCATGAATTTATCTTTGAGATTAAACTGGCCACGTATGCATTGAAACAGTTTCCCAATTACACAGTTTGAATGTACTCTCCAGGAAAAGCTGTCTTGGTCATCAGGAAGACTTTTTTTCACTCTCTTTATGAACAGTTTTGTCCATGGGCAATATTCTCTTTTTTAATGTATGGAAAAGGATCTACAGGATCTGTTCTAGGCTTAATTCATATCTGCAGCTATGCAGAGGCAGTAGTGCTCAAGTACTATTGACCCCACAGGAGCGGAGAGAAGGCGGTGGCTATTTTCAATGCTGAATTCCCACAAGGAGGGAAGATTTTCAAGACATCTCTGGCTCCATAAGAATCCTGCCTGCGGAGGTTGTCTGAGGGATGCATTGAATCAGCACATTGCTTGGCTTTCCTACTCATGCCTTCTCCACAAACAACGTCACTTGCTTTTGAGGCTGGCTGAAGGTTGGCTAGCATAGCAGAACTTTGGTATGTCTTTGTAGGGAATAATTCTGGACACTCTGGATGCAGGTGAAAACAAGCTGAGGATTTATTGTACACCAGCTGGTGGAGTGTCCCTCAGGGGTTAACCTGGAGAGCACTAGTTAATCAAAACATTACAGTAGATTATATAGGCAGCAGATGGGCGGAGTGGAAGCAATTTGATAAGGTCTGGCGGCAAGATGTAATGAGCACATAAGCCAATAAACTATGAAGGATACACAGCATCTTCACCCATTGCCAATTAAACATCTTATTAATAATACAGGTAGTTATTCCTAAGAAGCTAAAACCAACATAAACAAGACAAGCATTTTCATGGCAACGTTGTCTGTTGAAATTATGATGCGTCTACTGCGGGATAATAATGCCTTGCGTCGGTGCGGTCCTTGGGATCCAGGTTTATTATCTAGAATTAAAGGAGACAGAGAGAACGACTTCCGTGAAGTTTGTTTTGGTACCAGCCAGGCTCTTATCGGAGTGAGGCTCTCTTGGAATGTGGTTGCCAGGGCGACTAGGGTCATGTTAGCTGCTTGTTCTATGTGTTCCCAGGCCTTGCCTCAAATTTTAGGATTTGTTTAGGAGAGTTTTTAGCAGAATACCATGGACTGCCTTAGTTTACCCCTACAGTCTTGCTCTTGGACAATTCTCATTATACTTCCCATGTCAAGCATAAATGTCCCTATGGCCCTGGATTATTTCCACAGAAAAGGTCATTGCCCAGAGATGAGTCCGATCCTGTTGCTACTCAGGAAGATTAGCATCCAGCCCCTTCTAGCAACATCAAAATGTTTGTGATTAGTATAATTGTGTCAATCAGTTCCCCTGGGAGGAAGCAAAGCAGGAGCAGGTTACCCTGTGTATTGTGAAGGGAAGTGCACACATTTTTACTAGTTCTGAGTAACATTTAACAGATGAGGTTCGTCCCCAACCTGGGACAATAGCTTTGCTTTGATAAGATGATATGCTACTGCAAGCAGGGCAGGATATTGAAAGTGCCTTGAGCACTGGACTAATGTTGTCATGCTGTGGCACTGAATCATTACAAAAGGGCACAGTGTAATATCACAATCTAGTGAGGTAAGGATCAAGTCTCAGGTGGCCGTTACATAGGTGGAAACTCTATGCAGTTGACTCAATCCTGCAACTACAGTCTCACTTCTTGGTGGTATCAAGGGACCCTTACACAGTACCTTAGTCCTGGTGGCTGGCGCTTAGCAGAGTTTTACTGGTGATTAGACCACAGGATGTTACAAATCTCTGTGCAAGCAGTTCTGTGTCATCATCTGGAGAGCCAGGATGTATGTGCAATGTAGGAATCATCAAATATGAATTGGCTAATAGCATAAGGGGAAAATGTGTACTTCAGACCTGGTCATCTCAGGATTTTACTTGCCTCTAGTGAGCTCAGAAAACTGAAGAGTCCCTTGGACAGTTTGCATCAGTCTGCAGACTGTGTAATGTCAGCATCTTGCAGACAGAACTTATCAGTGACTAGACATAGGGTCAGTTACTTGTACTTTTTTATGAGTATTTTGTAGCTAAACAAACATTTTCACAAAAACTTGGCCCTTTCATCAAATGTACATTTAGAGTTGGAATAGCCCTGTGGCTCTCAGCCATTGCTCCATTCTAATGAGGGGCAATGTGTGGGAGTGGCTTAAATGGTCACATGGCCCTCCCTAAAATGCTGAAGAGGGGAGGGCAAGGGCTCAGAAGCAGAGCAGCAGGGAAAGCAGAGCTGGAGCACCCACAGAGAAACATTAATGTGTGGTGAGCACCCAATGACAGCCAGGCTCCCCCTCCTCCATGTCTCTCACCCACTGGTGGCTCTGCTGACCAACTCCCACCCTCCTGGCGCTTCTGAAGCACCTTGAATAGCTGATTCACAGCATTCAGGAAGCTCTAGGAAGGAGTGGGCATGGGGCATGCTCAGAGGAGGAAGAGGCGTGGAGGCAGGAAGGGCAGAGTTTGGGGGAAGGGGTGGAATGGGTGTGGGGCGGGGGCATCGAGCACTCTTGGCTAGAGGGGAAGTCGGCGCCTATGCTGCTTGGTGCAGTATAGCAGCTCTACTCTCCTAGGCAGCTACAGTGCTGCACTGGGCAATGTCCCAGACAGGCAGCGTGGTTGGAGGTTGCCTGGGAAAGAAACTGGGAGAGGACCGAGTGCCCCCCACTAAATAATGTTTCATAGGGAGGGGATGAGAGATTATAGGTGCCCCAGGCTGGGGTCAGAAAGTCATGTGTGGGGTTACATTCTCTCCTCCCCCACCCACAGCTGGTGCCCCCTTTATGTCCCTCCCACTAGTCGCCCTGATTGTAACTGTGGGTAAATGTTTACTGGTGTTGGCAACTGCTGTCTGAACAATGTAGATTAATGATAACCAAATGGTGCCAGCTCTGAGTGAATCTCATCATAACTGATGATTTTCTTGATGCCCCACCTCCTGAAGTTCCGTAATTAGACATGAAACTCTGCTTTTGTGGAAAAAAATATATTTCTATCCTTCACTGGTGTAGAGAAAATGATGAAAATTTGAACTCTCCAGGCTCAAACATCAGAGAACAACCAAAAGGTCCCCAAATCATCTTATTTTTTAAAAAGCTCATAATTTTTAGAAGCCAGACACTTGATTTTTGAATTCTTGTGGTTAGGCAGTACTGTCAACCTTAAGATCAAGATGATAATGTGTGCCTAAAAGTATCCACAGTGCCTGATGTGCTAACATGAAATTCTCAGCACCACACCACCCTAATCTTTTAAATTAGTGTGAACAAAGTATTGCACTTTGTGCACTGAGATTCTTTAGGGCAGTGGCTCTCAACCTGTCCATTACATTGTACCTCTTTGAAGAGTCTGACTTGTCTTTGTAACCCCAAGTTTCACCTCACTTACAAGCTTACAAAATCAGACATAAGCATACGGCACGCTATTGCTGAAAAATTGTTCACTTTCTCATGTTTACAAAATAGTCCTGAAATCAATTGGAATACAAATATTGTACTTACATTTTAGCATGGGCATCTGGTAGCCTAGGCGGGGAAAGCTCTGCCTTCCCAAACAGTCAGGCATGGCCATGCCCACACTCTACCCTAGAACACCTGCTATAGGCGTTCTGGGGGTGGAGTGTGGCTGCCCCCAGCGCCAGCTCTCCTGGTGCTCCAGAACTGAGCCGCATCACACTCCCTTCTCCCTCCCCCAGTGCCCCAGGGTTGGGGAGGCTGGGGCATGCCCGCCCACTCACCTCCACAGGGAAGAGGCGGGACCTCAGCAGAAGGGGCAGGGCTGGAGGTGGGGCGGGTGGCTTGCCTCCCCCAGCCCTACCTTCACCAACTGCCCATGCATTTCAGTGTATAAAATACAGAGCAGGATAAACAAGTCATTGTCTATGAAATTTTAGTTTGTACTTACTTTGCGGTGCTTTTTATGTAGCCTGTTGTAAAACTAGGTAAATATCTAGATGAGTTGCTGTACCCCCAAGGAGAGCCCTGAGTATTCCCAGAGTACATGTATCCTTGGTAGAGAGCCACTGATTTAGGGAACCTTGACAATTCTGCCTCTTTGTCTCTGCCCCTGAGTTTCTTAGAGTATGTCTACACTACCCCGCTAGTTCGAACTAGCGGGGTAATGTAGGCATACCGCACTTGCAAATGAAGCCCGGGATTTGAATTTCCTGGGCTTCATTTGCATAAGCGGGGAGCCGCCATTTTTAAAACCCCGCTGGTTCGAACCCCGTGCAGCACGGCTACACGGGGCACGAACTAGGTAGTTCGAACTAGGCTTCCTAGTTCGAACTACCGTTACTCCTCGTGAAATGAGGAGTACAATGTCATACAATGTCAGCTGTTGTTAACATTCATGTTTGTGGGATTTACTCAACACTAGAACTGCAGAAGACTTCTATAGATGGAGAAAACTTCTTACAAGTATTTCGGTATCCTGTGAATAAATCCAATATCAAAATGGAATAATTTGCCATTCAAACAATAGTAGGACTTCCTTTTATGTATACAAAGGGACAGAGTGAAGACAACTTGAACTTTGTTGTTTCCTGATTTTGGTGTGCTTTGTTTTGCAGTTCTCATGCTCTTCTTAATGCAAATGTTTGTAATGGAAGAGTTACTCTAATACTCTATACCTAAGTCCCATAATACTAGGTTACAATCTCTGAAAATAAAGCCTATGCAAAATATGGTGAAAACTAACCACTCAGTGTTTGCAAATGCCATAATGCTTTTTGAGCTATGCCATGATGGTACTGAATTTTTAGTTTTATTTGTCAAGCCATTCCTAAGTAACATAGCTTTAGAACAACATCCCCTGAAAGAATGTAAAAACTTCCCCTACGCTAGTCGCCAAAGAAATGTCCATAAAAGTAGAGAATGTTTCATGTATTGAGAAGCCTCAAAGGGGTAGTAGCCGTGTTAGTCTGTAACTTTAAAAAACCAAGAAGTCCTGTAGCACCTTCAGGACTAACAAAAAAAAAATAGTACCATGAACTTTCACGGGCAAAACCCACTTCCTCAGATGAGAGGTGTGTGTTTTTTCCCACAATAGCGCATGATACTGTATATATATTTTTGTTAGTTCCGAAGGTGCTACAAGACTACTTGTGTAGGACATGAATGTATTTGGGGTGGAAAATTGGGGAGGAGGGAGACAAAAGAGCACTTTTATACATATGTTGTCTTATCTGGTTGACTTTTGTGCCAACTTCAGAGCCATCTGCTCTACAGTAGAATGCCTGCCTAACTGACTAAGACAGCTGCCATGACAGTTTTTTCAGACTGCTCCTTCAGTTACCTCTGCTGTAACCTTGAATGACCACCCTTTCTAGGTAAAGGGAGAGATTTAATCTTACAGATGATAAGTCCCGTGTTTCTCCTAAGCACAGACTACTGGGTATGTTAGACTAGCTAAATGATAGGATCTGATATGGCTAAATCATCTAACTTGAGAAGCTGTTTATATTAGTGGCTGGAGTTACTTGATTCCCTGTCTCTGTCTTCTGATTAATTGTCACTATTTTTAAAAAGCATTTGATAGGCTATATTGTCCTCCTACCCTTGTATGGTTATTTTATGAAAACAGGGACTGTTTTCAGATTGTCACTGCCTTATTAAAATGTCCTTTTTATTCTCTTCTAATTTGTAATGAAAGAGACATTATACCATTCTCTTCTGTTGTATTCCCTTTGCATCTGCTCCTTTGCATCAGACTATGTACTCTTAGCAAGAGGATATGTTGTTAGCAAAAATTTCTCTTGTTTGCTGCCCACTTAACTTTATTCAAGATCATTTTATCATTACTTTCTCCCCATGCCCACTTCCAACATGGTTGCAGTAGTATGTATCATGATATTAGCTCAATCTGGCAGTGATGTTTGGTAATGGTGATTTGCACTTCCTA